TTAGCAGGCCCAAGTCACAAACACTAGAAAGAAGCAGAGATGACACCGAGTTAGTGGTTATTATCGTTTGAGTCTGAACAGGTGAAACCATCCAAACAGACATAAAGATAAACTAAAGCTCCTCGTTTGGTCATTATTTCTGGAATTTCATCAGGACTCTCACGCTGGTGGAGAGAAATGCTGAAGCCAAGTGCCAGCCAGAGGAGGACCTTGTCTCTTGGAAGGAGACATCACATTTCTGACAACTGCTCAGATCATTTTGCAGGATGAAACTAAAGTCCAAACAAACAATGATAGGTCAGTGATATGCAGAACCACACCTTGACCAGGACGGCTTAGCTTTGTATCCTTCTAGCTCTCAACTTAAGACTAAATCTTTTTTTTTTAAAGATTATTTATTATGTATACCGTGTTCAGTCTGCATGTACCCAGGCCAGAATAGGGCACCAGATGTCATTATAGATGGTTGTGAGCCACCATATGGTTGCTGGGAATTGAACTCGGGACCTCTGGAAGAACAACCAGTGCTCTTCACCACTGAGCCATCTCTCCAGCCCCTTAAGACTAAATCTTATGCCAAGACCCCAAAGATGAACTTGGGGCACAGGGTCACTATATCTCTTTGTTCCTTTTCTTTATGTGGTCACATTAAACTCATTGCTTCTGTTTCACTGTTGATTTGGTTCTTCTAATTGACCTATTATGGACAGGAGGCTGAGCCTGGACTGACAAGAACATAACCACTGACCTTAACTCCAGTAACAAAAAGACATTTCAAAGGGAGTGGCCAGATAAAACTCTTGTTTACAGTAGGTCATACTGGTTATACGTGGGGTGGAATTGGGAAGGCCAGTTGCAAGGGTCCTGAGTTCAGTGAGCAGTAGGGGCTGGGAAAGCCTGTGTATGCAGATAAGGAGTCTTTAGAAGGTGGGGACTACAGGCTACTGGAAGGCTGCACGAGAAGAGGGAGGCAGGGAGCAGAATCTGGGGTGTCTCCAGTTCTGTTACTTAAGCCCAGGAAGAATCAGTACTGCTGTTGACATAGGCAGCAATGGGTGAAGAGCAAGAGAGGGGAGAGAACGGTCACTTTAAATTGCCTAGCCATCCTCAGAGTCTTAGAAGACCCAATAGGACAGGCCTGGAAGGGCAGCTCTCAGTGGCAACTTGTGCTACGGTCCCCTTCCTCTATATGCTTCTCTCCAGCTCTAGGAATTGAATTCTTCATGTGAGGTTTCCTTCTCTTGGGGACTGATAAATCTTGCTGATTCTGTCCCCTAAAGTTATCTCAGATCTCAGCTTACATGTCCCCCTTAAAGACCATTCCCTGAGCTCTCAACTAGATGCAACTCCCCTCCCCAATTCTACATTCCCATAATGGCCTATCACACATTCCCCAATTCTACATTCCCACCAGGACCCTTGTTCAGCTCCCCCCCATGTGCTCCTCTGGAATAGAATCTTTAAGATTTATTTATTTTTATGTGTGTTGAGTGTTTTGCCAGAAGGCATGGAAGTTCACCATGTGCATGCAATGCCTATGGATACCAGAAGAGGGTACCAAGTTCCATTGAACTGATGTCACAGATCAATGTGAGCCACCATGTGGGTGACTCGGAACCCAACCCAGGTCCTCTGCAAGAGCAACAAGTACTCTTAATGGTTGAGCCATCTCTCCAGTGTCCCTGTTTTCTGGTTTTAGTCTTGCTCTGTAGCCCTGGCTTAGAACTGGCCTTGCAGTTGTGCCTGTCATCTTGCCTTATCTCTGCTTCCCAACTGCTGGGATTATAGGTGCATGTGAAAATACCTGGCCTTACTTAAGCTTTCCTTCCTAATATACCCTCTTTTCATTAAACATACAAACTTAACCATGTCTGTCCCCTTCAAACAAAACCAAAAGAAAAGAATAAAATGTAGTTGGAAGTTTTTCTGTCTTGCCTGGTCCCATTGGACTGGTTTCTCTCCTACCCTCTGCGTCCCCACAGCCACTTATGAAATAATCATTCAGAGGCTAATAATTAAATATGATTGTTTGGCCAATGACTCAGTCATATTAATGGATAGCTCTCTCTTATAAATTAATCCATTTCTATTCATCTATTGCCACGAAGCTGTGGCTTATTGGTAATGTTCCAGCATGTCACTCCTCCAGCAGCTACATGGTGTCTCCCTGACTCTACCTACTTTTTCTTTGTATCTTTGTTTAGATTTCCTGCCTAGCAATATTCTCCCTGGCGATTGGCTGAAACAGCTTTATCAACCAATAAAAGCAACACATATTTGTAGCATACAGAAGGATATCCCATACCAATAAAACCCAGGGGTTTTTACAGTTCACAGCACTGTAAGTACTTGGCTTCATGCACTCCATTTCAAAGTCATCCTAGCCTTCCTTCCTAGTTCTATTTCCTGCCACTCCCTTTCACTCAACAAATGTTTACCAGCAGTTTACTGTATGCCAGGTCTGCGGTAGGCAACAGTCGTACAAATTACCTACAACATGGTTGTTCTTGCACTCAACAGACTTACAGCCATGGAATAGGGAAGAGGAGGAAGGAAAATGATCATAGAGCAGCAGGAGGGTTCCAGAGAGGTCAGCAATGTGTTTGGGGATATGTGGGTAGCTTCCAAACAAAGGTGAAGCTTGAGCATTCTGGAAGGACGAGTGAATCCAAAATGAAGTGAATCCGTCACTCCCACAAGAAGGAAGAACAGGTGCAGAGACAGGAAGGTGTGAAACCAGCTGGCAGGGCTCTTCATTACACATCTGCTCAGTGAACACCTCTTAGGTGCTTTGGATATATAAGCAGCTAACACAACAAAGGCTCCTGGCTTCACAGAGCTGAGAGTTCCCAAGAGGAAGATGGGAATATTGGATAGGATGAGGAACAGCAAGCCTTCCAGACACTAAAGTCTCATGGATGGGGCTCACAACCCCACTGCGATTTCATTGTGAATGTCTGTGCTTATGTTCATGAAGCATTTTCACAGATAATGGATTAATATTTTATTGTAGTCTCAAGAAGAACCACAATGCTCTTGAGTTAGAACCTTTCCTGTAGGGCGCCTTGTACTGAGCTAAGGAATTTGACCTGCGGTGATAGGTCTGGAAGGTGTGTGTGTGTGTGTGTGTGTGTGTGTGTGTGTGTGTGTGTATGCACACGTGCATGTGTGCATGCGCTCCCTTGCCTTTCTGTAATGGAACACATACATATGCAAGAGCTCCACTGCTCAGCCATACTTCCCACCCTGTAGCCAGCAAGGCGTTTTAAGAAGTAAAACCACCATCAAAGCCTACATGTACTGCTGCCAGAGAACTCCCCGTGCCTTTCTCCTGCCAAGCTTTTGCTTAGCTGTTCCTTCACCTGGCTCACAGGAATGAAAACATCAGAAAAATTACAAGCCAGACAGGCCTGCCTCCAATCACTGTGGTCTAGCTGCAAACCTCGTCTACTCTGTGTGAAAACTTGCGAGGTTGGAAACACACTGCGATGAGCTGAACACTTTTGTTTTGGGAAGTGCCCATCATAGCTCAGGCACTTGGCAGTGTTACTTCCTTTCTTGGCGCTGTGGCTCAGCTGCTCAGGGGTTCAGGGACTCCCTGTCGCCTACCTTCGTGGAACTCTCTGCCCTTGTTCGTGCTCCTTCAGAGCTCTGTGAGTGGCATCTGCAGCACTCTTCACGTTTTTATTTTGAGACAGGGTTTCATGGAATCCAAGCTGGCCTCTAACTTGAGTTTGAAGATGACCTTAAACTTCTGATCCCTTTGCCTCTACTTCTCTTTTGCTAAGATCATAGACATGCACCTGGTTTGTGTTGGGCTTTGGAAGGAACCTCAAGGCTCAGGCATACTAAGCAAGTATTTTATCAACTGAGCCATATCCCGAGCCCCACATTTTGACCCCGTCCCGCCCCGCCCCGCCCCCTCTGTATAACCTTGGCTGTCCTGAAAGTGGCACCTGGAACCCAAGAGACCCCCCTGCTTCTACCTCCCAAGTGCAGGGATTAAAAGGTGTGTGCCACCACAGCATAACTACTCTTTTTTCCACTCCTAAGGCACTCAATTAACCCACATCCGTATTTTCCTTCAGCATAATTCTTTTCTTAATCTGTACCATTGTCCAGATAAGTACTGAATACCTTCCCTGTGTTACAGGTGAAGAACTTGAGGCAAGGTAGGGTGAAAGATATACCAAAATCAATCATTTAGCAAAAGGAAGCCGATGATCATTGATTGAGTCTTGTGAAATAACGACAATAGCCACAACAATTAATATTTACTATACTCACCACGTCAAGTGTACCCAGCATTACAACTGCATCCTAATTCCAACTCCTCTTGACAGGCAGGCAAATTCTACTGCTGTCCAAACTTAATAGAGAAGGAAACCAAAGCTCTGAGAGGTTAAGTTGCCCAAAGCAACCCAGGTTAAGCAGTTTTCAAAAGCAGACTCGTACGTAATTGGAGCATATAAACTCCAAAAGAGTTCTCCCTTCAGAAGACAATACTCTTTTTTTTTTTTTTTTTTTTTTTTGATTTCGCAGTTCTAAACCCCATCCAAACCTTTCCAGCATCCAGCCTAAGCCCAGCCAAGTCTTTGGTTGTTTGGAACAAAGATGCAGAGAGTGCTGTCAAACGTTAGTTCAGGGGGGTCAACAGAGAAGGTGGGGGGTCGGGAGTGGAAATTTAGGCGCCCGGGGCGTACTGTGTAAGAAGTGTATCTGGGGACCAACAGGCGAGTCACGTGTGAGTGAAACTCGACCTAAGGGGAGGGGAAGGGGAGGGAACCCCCGCCCCCACCTTGGGGCGCTGCTCTGGACGCCTGTAAATACAACTATCAACTCGACAGATCGTGTAGTCCATGCGCCGGCTTCCCGGCTTCAGGGATCTGTGGCGCCTGGACGGTTCCTAGGTCAACCGCTTCTTTCGAGGGCGCAGACGAGGTGAGACCAGCGGGTTCCGAGGCCCCCTGGGCCTGGCACGCCCGAAGACCCCCGCGTGGATGCGATTTGGGATTGGGATCGTGGGTCTCCGGCGATCCCGAGTGTGGAACCACCGCGGAGGCTCTGTGTTACCCCGGGTGTCAACGGCGGCGGGAGGCAAGTTTGCCGGAGACAGGTGAGCAGCTGGCGCCATTCAAAGTTACCCAGCCACTCTTGCAGGTCCGTTACCAGAGACCCCGGGCACATTGTTCCCTCTCCCCGAACCCTCCATTCTTTTAGTCCACTCTGTTTAGAGCCACAATTGTCACTGTGAGAAGGGACCTCGGAGATCACTGAATCGAACGCCCCATTTTACAGATGAGGTGATGGGCCACCCCCTGGAGAAAGAGCTAGTGCGTCCTTCCCCTTCGTCTTTCTTGCTTGCTCTTCCCTGTCTGTGCCGGCTCCGCTTGCCTGGGTCTCGCCTCCCTTGTTGGAGGTGGTGACCGCGGCCCGGGCGAGCTCCGGTTTCTTCGTTCCCTTTGGTAAACACACCCGCCCGCCAGCCACCCTGTCCTCCGCCGCTGTCCTTATAAAGTCTGCAGGCACAGGACTTCCTGCCGGAGCCCGAGCCCTCTCCCGGGGACTGGGGGGCTGGCGGGTTCCCAGGCGCGCGGCTGAGTGAGGGGTGCGCGGGGGCGCCACGGGGCCCGCCCAGGGTCTCCCTCCACGTGGCAGCTTTGGGATTGGCCCAGGAGACCGGAGGGACGCGCCGGCTGCGGCGAGCGGGAGGAGTTTTTCTACCCGGGCCCTGCAGAGGAGGAGTAGAATGAAAGGCGTAACAAGAATAGAGGGTCTCGGGCTAGCCCCAGACTTCCCTTTCCGCCTTCAGCCCGCCTCTGAAAGTCCGATCTGGCGCCAGAGGCTGGCGAGCCGTGGGTCAGCGGTGGCTACAGAGCACGGTCCGCCTCTTGCTGACTTTGGGAACTTGGGGTTTGGCTCCAGGAGCGGGCTCTGTGCGCCCTGGCCCGGCAACGCGCCAGGAAGTTGCTTCTCGCAGACCCGACCTTTCTAGTTTCTGATAGTGCCCTGCGGGCCAGTGGCGCGTTCGTCCCTGGCACCGCCAGAGCGCGCGGAGCCAGCTCCGCAGCCCCGGGCTCTATGGGACCTCCATGAGGGTTCCATATCGGGTTGGCTCCAGGGGTCTCGGGGGCCACCATGATGGAGTACCCTTCTCAAGGGCCACTAGGAAGCCCTTCTTCTCTCAGCGCTCTGTTTCTCTGCAGAGTCTCGGCCACCATGGCCCCCACGCTGAAGCAGGCGTACGGCAGGCGCTGGTGGATGGCTTGCACCGCTGTGTTGGAGAACCTCTTCTTCTCCGCGGTGCTCCTGGGCTGGGCCTCCCTGCTGATCATGCTCAAGAAGGAAGGCTTCTATTCCAGTCTATGCCCAGGTATATCCGAGAAGGGTTTGGGGTTGGGGGTGAGGACCGCGAGGGACGGTAGAAGGAGGAGGTAAGAAGTTGGAAAACAAGGACAGGTGGTCAGGTGGAGACAAAGCAGAGCTGCCCAAGACTGGAACACTTGGGCAAAGGGGAATCAGACAGCCTCACTTCTTCACCTCTTCAAACTTAATGTGCCCACTCTCTCAAGATTCTCGCATTCAGTGGTCACTGAATGCCAGTGTCCTGATGGGAATCCAAGTCCTGAGACTGCCGTTGACAACCTCCAGTCTAGAGTAGTATGTAGATTCTTAGAAGTGCTGTACCTACCTGGATAAGCGTTAAACCCGGGTCTTTTGCATGCTAGCAAGCATTGAGCTACATCACCAACACACAAGGGAGTTCTTACAAGATCAAGCAGAGACACACAAACTGGAGTATGAATATGAAGGACCTGCACTCTTAGCCTTTCAGTTTTACAAATAACCATTTGCATAAAGTTAACAGCCCCATTTCCTCTAGAATGGATATTGGTGGAGGGTTTCTGTTTTCAGTGTCAATTTGGTCTTGTGGAGTGGGAATCCTAAACGCGTTGAGAACAGTAACTACAGCAAAGCCTACCTGTCTGCATCTCTCTCTCTCTCTCTCTCTCTCTCTCTCTCTCTCTCTCGCGCTCTGTGTGTGTGTGTGGGGGGGGGGGGGGGCACCTCACTTGGTGGCTGGGACATGGTGGATATTTTTCTGGAAAGGGGAGTGCTGCACTTAGCGAAGTGGTGTGGGTTGCACTTTGGTGTCTCCCTCTGTCTCCTTTCCCAACTCCATGTTGTGGAGCAAGCAAGGAAGGAATCCCAGATTCCTCCTCATTTAACCAGTGAGTTTCCCTACAAATAGAGCATCCATTACCTAAGGACAATAGTAATATCTGTCCGTGGGGTGGCTTTGAGACTCAACAACACTTGACAAATGTAAACGTCCTTCTGGTGTCCCCTGGTTCCACAGCTCAACCTATTGCCTTATAGCTGATACTGTGAGTGTGGAAGGACAAAAAAACCATTTCCTTGCGGGTGGAGGTGGGGAGTTCTTGATATCTATTCTTATTTGCAGCTCCAGCTATACTGTGGAAGCTGCCACACCCCTGCCAAGGTTATCTCTAAGGAAGCAAAGGGTTGCACCCAAATATGGTGCCCTGCCCATGTGTTTGGCCCCAGTTACTGAGGGCTGGGAATGGAGATGATGGAGTTAGCATCAGGCCTAGGAAGTCAGGGTAGATCCCTGAGGAAGAGGTCTGAGATGGAATGACAGGCATTCCAGGGTGGTTGAGAGGACAAAGTGAAAGAGACCATAAGGACATCCATCCACACAAGACTTCGATCCCTCTGAGGTGTCCCTGGAGACTAGAGAGCACCTTTCTTTTGTTGCCTGGCGGCCTTGATGTCTGCTATAGACCATCCAGTGGTTTCTTTCTCTCTTCACCTGGAGGTAGTAGGGTTATCTTTTCTGAAAATTAATTTACTTTGTACATTTTAGTGATGTTTGACAAATTTATGCATTCCAGTATTTATCACAACAGCCAATATTTACATATCTACCACTCCCCAAAGGGCCTCAGATTATACATGAACCCCTCATTTAAAATATATAATATTAGCCACATGGTGGTGGTGCATGCCTTTAATCCCAGCACTTGGGAGGCAGAGGTAGGCAGATCTCCTTGAGTTCAAGGCCGGCTTGGTCTACATAGTGAGTTCCAGAACAGCCAGAGCTACATAGAAAAACCATGTCTTGAAAACCCAAACCAAAACATACACTATAATAGGTTCTAGTGTATTTAGTATTGTATAGTCATCCCTGCAAATTTTAGAGCATTTACTTTATCAACCCTCTACCCATTAGCAGCATAGCCCCCCTTGTTCTTTCTCTAGGCAATCACTCGTCTGTCTGTTTTCTGTCAAAGGCTGGATATGGCAAATAACAGCTATACCTCTTGTCTTTGTGGCTGGTTCCTTTCATTTTGCATGTTTTCTAGGTTCATCCTTGTTCAACATATAAGCCTTATTTTTCATAGCTGACTAACTCTCCATCATACGCACTGACTATATTTTCTTCCTTAGTTGATAGGCATCTGGGTTACTTGCACCCTTTGGGTTGTTAATGACAACACTCCCATGTCTATGTATTTATTTTGTAGTGGGCTTACTGTGTTATGTTTTTTCAAAATGACTATCACATTTTAAATTCTCACCAGCGCTATATGAGGGGTTCCAATTTCTCCACATCCTCAGCAATGGTTGTTGTCTTTTTAATTTGCATTTCCCTAATGGCTACTGAGGTTGAATGTTTTTTCGTGTGATTTTATTGGCATGTTCTCTGGAATAACATCTATTCAGTTACATCTTCCATTTCTAAGTTGTGTTATTTGCTTGTTTATTTAAGGATTGGATCCTGGGCCTTACGCGTGCTAAACATATATACAGTCTACCACTGATCTATACTCCTAAGTCTGTCTTTTCATTATTGAAGCAAGAGTTCTTTATACTCTATAATAAGAACTTTATATAGTTTTTTTTCTTTAAGCATTTTTCCATGTGTATCCTTTTTTAATTTTGATAAAATCCTATTTGCCTATTTTATTTTATTCTGGAACTCCATCATTAAGAAACAGTTGGCTAAATTTAAGGTCACAAACAATTGCACCTGTGTTTTCTTAGTTTTGTGGTTTTTGGCTCTTACATTTAGATCCTTGATCTTACGAGGTACTGAATTGATATTTTGAGTTGCTTGAAACTGGGGTGTGTGGTTGAGCCTGGCTGTTTGTGATCACTAGTGGTAAACTGCAGAACAATATGAGACGCAAATGACGCTGTTTAACGAACAGTTGAAGAACTCAGCAAATTCGAAGCTCATTACTGAGGTTGACATTAGTACAGGCTTTGGGGTTCCTTGGTCATACTGTCTGTTTTGGCGACCTTTCCCCCCTGATGTATATACTCTGGGGTGGGACCTAATAGGGAATGGTTACTCAAAATCTAGTCAGGGCCATCTCAGTTCATGACACACTAACAAAATAACAAAACAATGCTAACAATCGTGAAATACTTGCTGTTTGTTAGGTCTTTAGATTTCATTATAAATCTGTGACACAAGTATTGTTATACCCTTATTTTGGAGGGAGAGAAACCTGCAATGAGGAGATGCTAAGCAATGCACCTAAGGTCACCCAGCTGGTAAGGAGGACAAAAAGGCTGTTGCTGAAAGCCACAGTGTTTCCCTAACAAGTGCGAAGCTGTGGGCTCCATCCTCAATACCTGGAGGTGTCTGAGGAGGGCACAGAATGAGGACTCACTTCTGTTCTGACCATCAAACTTCCTTACAGAGCCTCATGAGAATAGACTGCGTGTCTCAACCACCCCATAGCTGAGGGTTGCTCTGAAAGAAGCCAGCTGTCTTAGTTACTGTTCTATTGTTGTGAAGAGACACCATAACCAAGGCAACTTATAAAAGGAAGCATTTAATTGGGGTCTTGCTTATAGCTTAAGAGGGTGACTCCATGGCCGTCATGGCGGGGAGCATGGCAGCAGACAGGCATGGCACTGGAGCAGTAGCTGAGGTTCACATCTGATCCACAAGCAGGAGGCAGATAGAGTCACACTGGGTATGGCATGGGCTTTTGCAGCCTCAAAGCCCACCCCAAGTGGCCCACCTCCTGATCCTTCCGAAGCAGTTCTACCAACTGGGAACCAAACCTTCAAATACCATTCTCATTCAAAGCACTACATCGTAATGCAAAATGCATTCAGTCCAACTTCAAAAGTCCCCATGGTCTGTAGAAGTCTCAATACTTAGTCTTTTTTGACTTAAGGCAATCTCTTAACTGTAACCCCAGTAAAATCAAAAAGCAGATTACGTCCTTTAACGTATAATGGTCCAGAGTGTATATCACCATTCCAAAAAAGAGGAAAGGGGCATGGTGAGGAAATACTGGACCAAAGCAAGACTGAAACCCAGCAGGGCAAACTGCAAACCCTGTAACTTCATGTCAGTTATCAAAGGGCTCTTCAGATCTCCCGCTTCTTCCAACTTTGTTGACTGCATCACACTTCTCTCTCTTGGGTTGGTTCCACTCCCTATTAGCAGCTCTCCTTGGCAGACATCCCGTAGCTCTGGCATTTCCCAACATCTTGGGGTCTCCAATGCAACCAGGCTTTACTTTCACAGCTTCACAAAATGGTCTCTCTGGGCCTCCATGGAGGGATTCTTCCTGTCACATGCCTTGTCTCAATGGCTTTCCTTAACTAAGGAGAAATAGTCCCGAATCCCTTAACTGGTATCCTTCTTGAAGCTTGAAGCTGCCAAGTTCTGCTGCCTGCTGGGGCTGGAACCTGGCCCCCTCCTTAAATTACATTTGCTTTCAGCTTTGACTCCTTGGTGTTTTTTTAGGCACTAATCCCTCAGGCCTTTTCCCTTCACAGGCTGCAGGACTAGCTGGGTGGGGTCTCACTCTGAGGGGACCACGCCTTTTATTCCATTTAGCATCAGGCCTGTCTTTAAATTTCGTTTTTTTGTTTGTTTGTTTTTTGAGACAGGGCTTCTCTGTGGGATGGTCCTGGCTGTCTGGGACTTTGTAGACCAGGCTGGTCTTGAACTCACTGAGATCTGCCTGGCTGTGCCTCACAAGTGCTGGGATTAAAGGTGTGCGCCACCACTGCCTGGCTGTCTTTTAACTTCTTATCTCTGATGGATCAGAGGACTTGGCTCCAACATTACATTTCCAGAGACATAGACAAGACTTTTCCAGCTAGAACTTAGTCCTTAGTATTTTGTTGGTATGCTATGTCACCATCAGGAAGACGTCATGAGGAAGCAAGGAGTAGGAAACAAAGAAAACTGAATCATTTGAAATTTGCTCTGCATATCTGGTACTCAGCCCATCCTCAGATCCAGGTGTTTCAGGTTACTGTCTCCATTTCAAAGGTGGGACAAGGCCTCAGAGAATTTCAGCAGCATAGCTAGTGAGGCCAGGATTTGACTACAGGTGTATGTTCAACCATGGTCCCATGTCCCAGGGCTTCACAGACATGACCATTTATTTATAAGCCGCCTTTGGAATTTTATCATTTCTGTGTGCCATAGTTACTGTTATTTAAAGTGTGATGTAGCCTTGGGTTTGATGTTGTATGTACATAGACACATATACATTTTTCTAACAAATACATATATTCATGCATGTTTCTAATGCACAAATAGCTAATAACTGGAACCTCAGAAGTTACTCCGTGTACTACCTAATGTCCACGTACTTTGTCAATGTACTTTGAATGTCCACGTCGTGTGTACGGCCAACTGTGATGTACCTAGGTCACCCAGCTAATGAGGAGCAAACAAGGGCTGGGCTGTAGTGGTGGTCACCTGCTTTCCTTTGATTGTCAACCAAGCAGCCTCACTCACTGAGTGCCTTCTCTTTCTCCTCCTATGTATCATCCATCTGTGAAAGTGGGCAGTTGGATGCCAAAAAGTTATTCTGCTATGACTCTCTTGGATGCAAGTTCTTTAACCAGTCACTCAGAGAGATCAGGCTTCAGGAGCTAGCTCATATTGAACTCACAAGAAGTTGATTGATTAAACTAGAAGAACTTACATATTAGTGGGCTTTGAGTGACCATTAGCAGTCTGCTGCGCTAGATCCTGTAGCAGAGTACAAATATTCCCTGGTATTAGCAGATACTTGGGAAAGTTTCCAAGCAGGCCTGTGGGACAGCTAGGATGAGTGGTGTGGCGAATCTGTACTGGCTCTGGAAATTCTTTAGAGTTTGAATTGGAGGCAACTGTAGGCTCCTGGGTGGCTGAGTGCTTTGGCTTCTGGGAGCCTTATCTGCCACGGAGGCCACTGTATTAACTTTTTAGGGTTATTGTAAAGATGAAGTGAGATTTTGCTTGTGTCAACTTGGCACAAAGTTTTTTTTGTTTTTGTTTTTGTTTTTTTCTGCAGGCTAGTGGAATTATTTGAGAGAGAACTTGTCATTGATTATGAAAGACTTAAGGGCAGGGACGATGTCTAACTCGGGGCTACAGGGACAGGGCCGGAGGATGATAATATATGAGGCAAGTAGGGCAGGTGTGAGATAGCTAGCATCTGGGACCTGTGAGATAGACATAGGCCGCTCAGCTCTCTTTCTCTCTCTCTCTCTCTCTCTCTCTCTCTCTCTCTCTCTCTCTCTCCCTCTCTCTCTTTTTACTATGTTGTGCAGGGTGGCCCTGAACTCCTCTGCTCAAGCAATCTTGTCTCAGCCTCCTGAGTAGCTGGGACTATGGCTGCATATACCTTGTCTAGCTGAGGTACCAAATTTCCAATGAACTAGAAATCTGGATTTTTATTTAACATGGCACTCAACTCAAGTTACTGGCAGTCTAGCAAAACATGGGTAGAAAGAGACTCAATGGTGGTCACCTATTTGTGGCCTTTGGTCTGACTTGTCCTTCTGTTTCTTTCTTAAAACTCACTGCTCCAAGCTGAGTGGTGGTGGCACACGCCTTTAATCCCAGCACTGAGAAGCAGAGGCTGGCGGATCTCTGTGAGTTCGAGACCAGCCTGGTCTACAAGAACTAGTTCCAGGGCATCCTCCAAAAAGCCACAGAGAAACCCTGTCTTGAAAAACCAAATCAAACCAAACCAAAACAAAAACAAAAAAACCACTCTTCCAACACAATGGTGGTGTACAGCAAATGTCCAGTAATCAGGTGTAGAATAAACCAACTTGGGCAAACAAACCCAGAGGAGACATGGATGGTGGTCATAAAGATAGCAGGGTTATTGTGACCCTCAAAGGCTGAATGGTCTAACCCCCTAGGTGCTTCCTCCAGGTGCCTTAGCCCTTTCCCTAGCCTCCCATTATAGTTGGTACTGCCCAGGGCACTTCCTTTTCTGGTGGCCTGCTCTTATAATCTGACAGATCTTTATGTTCTTTTTATGTTGATACACAGATCTCATTACCTTGTGCTACCTGTAGGTCCTTTGGCAGCTTGAGGTTACTTGAAGTCAGGGTCAAGGGGCCACCCTCTTTCCCAGTACCCAGGCACAACCATATTCCTCTGTTCTCTTTGCAGAACTCACCACTTTTGTATTTTTAGTTAATGATTCTGCAGAATCTCACACATAGCTTAGGCTGGTCTGGAACTCACTGTGTAGCTCAGGCTGACTGCAAGGCAATCCTCCTGTGTCAACCTTCTAAGGGCTGGGATTCCATCTCTGGGTCACTCACTACAAACAGCCCACTTCCCTCTTTAAATTCCCATCCGTTTGTGACTATCATGAGCCTTTGCACAGCTTCCACTCTTAGGGTGCGATCCTGTGGGGCTGTGCTCAGCCCCACTGCCAGCTATTTCAAGAGCTCTGGAATGTGCCTCAGCCCTGTCTCCTGGGCCAGGAACTGTGCAGAACTCTCTTCACTGTCTCCAGCTGCGGCTGCTCACTCTCAGCCCTTGTTAATAGGCAAGGGGCCCAAGGCACAGACTGAGGGAGTTTCCCTGGCCATGACTCCATAGCTAGTCAGGTTGGGGAGGTAATGGAGACCCTGATTGGCCTGGCTCCTAGGTAATGCCCTGTTTTCCCCTGGCAGCACTACCCAGAAGCAATTTAGAGGCAGCCACCTCATGGCTCGGTGCACAGAGTTAAGTAAAGTCACCCTCTGTCCCCTTTACGGGCCCTTTGCTTTGGCTTGTCCAATCTCCCCAAGTTCACAGCTGAAGGGGCCTAGAAGGGAGCACTTTGGTGTCATTGTGTGGGGTGTGGGATGTTTTATTAATGGACTCTTGGGGGCTTGATGTGGCTTACAGGGTCTGTGCCAAGCAGTGCCTGGAATATAGTTAAATGCTAAACAGTACTAGCTGTTATAATCAGAATGTCATTTATTTCGGCTTCTTCTACTTTTTCCGTACATTCTTGTTGCATACATTAAAGAACCAGCCACTGATTTTGCTTCTTGATTTGGAGTGCCCCCCCCCCAGTACTCTCTGGTGACTGTTATAACTTGGTACATACTTTGATGTCTGTTTTGTCAACTGAGCTAGCTAAAGCCTCCGATTGAGAATATGTGTGACTTTCTCAGGGCCAGATGCTAACTGCTATCACTCTTGAGCTCTTTCCCACCTCAGACAGAGCATATAGGGCTCTACATGACCTCCAGGAACACCTGGTTGGTTCAAATCAGAAGCCTGAATTGGAAGGCAGGACTACTGCCAGGCTGTTTTCCTGTTTCTGTTGTATGTGCTGAGCCCTCCCATTCCCTCCTCAGCTGAGAACAGGACCAATACCACCCAAGAAGAACAGCACCAGTGGCCAAGCTGTGACCAGCAGGACAAGATGCTCAACCTGGGTTTCACCATTGGCTCCTTCCTGCTGAGTGCTACCACACTGCCTCTGGGGATTCTCATGGATCGCTTTGGGCCCCGGCCCCTGCGCTTGGTGGGCAGGTGAGGTGGCTGGATTGTGGGGAGATTCAGGGCCAGGAAGATGATCGGGGGAAGGAGAGGCTAACAAATTATTCCCCTTTTCTGTGTCCTTACAGTGCCTGCTTTGCTGCGTCCTGCACTCTCATGGCTTTGGCCTCTCGGGACACTAAAGGTGACCTGGTCTGCCCTCATGAGCCTTTTCTAGAATGGGTGGGATGAAGGCGGACTTTGACCCCGGCTCCTGCCTGTGGACTCTTATGGCTCCACAAATACCCTCATCTGCCCTCTTCTCTCTCTTCCCAGTTCTGTCTCCATTGATATTCCTGGCACTGTCCTTGAATGGGTTTGCTGGCATCTGCCTCACGTTTACCTCACTTACTGTGAGTATGATGGACATGTCCTGGCAGACATCCAGACACCTGGGAGTGGGTGGGGTTAGACGTGAGTGAACCTGGGGCTGGAGAGGTGGCTCAGGAGTTAAGAGCATTTGCTGTTCTTCCAGAGGACCAGAGTTTGGTTGCCAGGCCTCAAGTCCTACAGTTCACAACTGCCTCTAACTCGAGCACCAGAGAAACTGACTCCCTCTTCTGGCCTTCAAGGGGACCGCACACATGGCACACACAGCTACACTCATATACATAAATAAAAATAACGGTAGACTCGGACGAGAGGATGATGAGTAGTCGAGAACAAGGGCCTGAGTGTGAAACTGTGCAGGTGGGAGCTAACGGTAGGCATAGAGCTGTGCGTGGGTGAGACTTTGTGTGTGTACTGAGCCTGCTCTGTTCCTGCGCGGAGCCTACAGTACAAACAGGACTATGTCCTCATCTCCCAGAAGCTTCCATATGGGCACTAGGCAGGGGTGGAACAGAAGACCCAATAAGCAAGCAAACTCATAAATCATGTCAGCAGCCATAACTACTGGGGAGAAAACTTAACTGGGTGAAGTGGTCCTGAGGGTGATGGAGCAGCTCAGCCACGTGGACCTTTTGCCACATTAGAGGGGTGTGTGTGTGAAAGGACTTGAGTGGAAAATGCGTTTGTGAAGATGTACCCGTGTGAATTAACCGATAGTTAACTATTTTTGACCCACAAAACTAACCTTTCCTTGTGACTCAACCTATTACCTATCCGTGTGGGTTTGTTTTAGTGTATATGGTTATGTATGTCTGTGGGTATTCGGGTTAAAAGTTTAGCAGGGTGGGGGTGGGAAGGGAAAGTTCCCGTTGGACCATTTCTGGTTGTTTATCTCTGATGTGGCCAAACTGGATGTTTTGGCCGAGTTTCTCATCCCAGCAGCTGCCTTTCACTGCAGCTGGGGACATTTCACAACTTTTAAGGAAGCTGATCCCTTCCGATCCACCCCTCTGCACAGCAACCCCTTCCCGCTGTGCAAATTGGCTCAGGTCTCTAAATCTCTTCTGGGGCTGGAGCAGGAGGCTTGACCTGGACCCTGCCCTGGGTAGTGGAGGGGATTGGAGGGCCAGCCAGTCTGGGCTCTTCTGCGGTCATCGCCTCATCTCCAGCCAATGATACGGCCTGGCGCCTGCCCCGCCCCGCCCCACCACTTGTTAGCTCTGCCCCTGACCTTTTGCTGTTTCAGACCGCCAGTAGGCGCTAACTATGGCCATTATGCTACCTCCTGGGCGATCCTATGGTCAGCTCCCGCAGTGCTATGCTGAGACAGAACCTTTTTTAACCCTTCAGGGACAGGGATCTAAGTCCTGGAATCTTTCCCTGGTGTCCTTGTCAGGGTGCATGGCAGATAGAGGAGGGCGCTAGTGAAACCTCTGTTCTAATGGGAGTCTGCTTGGCCTCGCCTAACTGTATTCCCTTGGGGTTCAAGGACAGCTCTCTTCTCCGTTTAAATACTTTACTTCTCATCCCTCTTTGAGGTCCCTTGACTGAGCCTCTATTCTTATGGTCTTCGTATGTCATTTAAGGTCCTATCCAGCTATGTTATCTCCTAGCCCTGGAGGACAGTGGGATTAAGGAATAGATACACAGAGGGTTTACTTAGCCTTCTCTTTCTCTGAGGGCCAGGCACACTGTTAGTGAGCCGAACATATGACCATCGTTAATTCATTGCTGGTGGGTATTCTGGGCCTGTTTGGACATCAGAACTACTCTGAATCACCCTTACCTTCCTGGTCTTTCCATAATTTATCCTGGTTAGGCAGAACCTGTGGGCTGTGGTATTTGGGCTCCACGAGAGGATTACAGGTCACCTTTGTGTTACAGTGTCATCCACAGACACAGCCGTGAAGGGGCCAGAACAGGGAGGAGGTCTTTAAGGCTGTGAACTTGAGGGCCCTTCTTTCCTTCACAGCTTCAGTTTTCTGTTTTAGACATGAGTTGGACTGCATCGTGTTTCTTTTTAAAATTCTTTTAAATTTATTTATGTCACATGTATGCTTTGACTTCATGTATGTCAGGGCATCAAGTGCATACCTGGTGCCCCGTAGAGGCCAGAAGAGGCGTTCAGATCCCCTGGAACTGAAATTATAGACGGTCGTGAGCAACCGTGTGGGTGCTGAGAATTGAACCTTAGTGAGCTCTCCTGCCCCTAGATCAGGATTTCTTAACACCTGTTCAGGGGGTTATCCAGAGGTGTCACTGAATAAAGGGGCTCCATGATCAAAACCCCTCGGGCCATCCTGGGATGAGTCAAAGTTAAAATTTCTCTTCAGGGATATTTCTGGAACCCTTTAAGGTGTCCAGGTACATTGGAAGTGTGTTAGAGGGGTCACAATGGATGCACTCCCCAGTGTGCACCTTCCCATAGGACTTTTCTGTGGGTCACCTGGAGTTCACTTTGAGAAACACCAGGCTGGAGCCTTTGAGCTTTCTTATAGAGCGCTAAGAGAGGGGAGCGTATTACCAGCTCACAAGAGTTGCTCTTCTCCCTCAGCTGCCCAACATGTTCGGGAACTTGCGCTCCACTTTCATGGCCCTCATGATTGGTTCCTATGCGTCTTCTGCCATCACGTTCCCTGGGATCAAGGTATGGATCCTTTGGTAGGGCTAGGTTGTCTTTTTTCACTGTGTGTGAGCGCCCGCATGTGCGTGCGTGTGTGCGTGCGTGTGTGTGTGTGTGTGTGTGTGTGTGTGTGTGTGTGTGTGTGTGTGTGTGTGTTATAGTTGGATTCACCCATGCTTGTGCATGTGGCAGCTAGAGGTTGATATGGGGTCTTCTCTTGCTCTCTGGCTTATTTCTTAGGACAGAATTTCTCACTGAACAAAGTGTTTACGGTTTCAGCTAGACTAGCCAGCCAGTAAGCCCAATGGGATCTGTGTGTTTCCACACCTAGTCCACACTGGGTTGCAGATGTGTGCTGCTACACTCTGCTGGGGGTCCAAGCTTTACCTACCTACTGTTTCCCTAGTCCCCTGGGCTGTCTTTTTGCCCTGACACTGGACAGGGTAGGGTGAGTGATGCTTTTAAAGTCAGATGGCCAGATGTTTGGGCTGTATCTCCCTGCCAGAGAGGCTGAGTAACTTGGTGTAAGTTCACAAAGCAAGTCTATGCCAGAGTAGATCCTAGTCAGGCCAGCCTGGTGGGCCTGGGGAACCGCAGGCCTGAGCTTTAAGCTTGGGGCCAGCTGGAGGACTCTGCTTCTTCTCCACGGAATAATCCAAGCACTGTTTCCACTAGTCCTGCCATTGTTCTTCAGAGTTGACTTGAGGAGTTACTTTGTTAGTTTTGTGCAAGTTTTTGTTTGCCTTCTCTAAAGGAGTTTGGAGTGGGTAAGCTTGAGGAATCCTATGTGACCTCTACATGCTTAAAGGGTGCCGTCTATTGAAGCTTTGTCTTGGCCCCAGAAGGAAGAGCCCAAGGCCTAAGTTCCTAGAAGAGTGGATGTTTCTCTTCACAGTGACCAGAGCTCTCAGTAGGAGGTTGTCAGGGAGGACAGCTGGTGACAGTTCTCTTATCAGAGGAGCTGTCATGCTTGCACTAGATCCAGTCAACCTCTTTGTTCTGGGGCTAGAAACTTGCCGGCTTACCCCACCTCCCGGCAGCAGGTGCACCTGTGTGTACTTGGGAGCTGTGAGATAAGGCTTCTCAGGTTGGATTTGCCTCTAGTGAGGAAATGGGACAGCTAAACCTAGAGCATTAATTTCCATGTGCATATGATATGAAACATCTTTTGTGTAAAAAATAAGCATTTTTAAGGAGTCATGGGCAAAAATTGGCATTCCTTTCCAAGGTAGCAGTTGAGGTTTTCTAGGCATGTTGAGAGTGTGGCAGGCACCTTCAGTGCTTTGGAAGAATGACTCCACACTCTTTTCATGGAGCTTGGGTAAAGGAAGGGATGGAGCGGCAGGCTTTCTGGGTCTGACTTTTAATTTCTGGCTTTGTTTTCTCCACCTGCAAACTGGGTATAAGGAATGGGATGGAAGAGACCTCAGAGGCCCCAGTCCTCCAAGGGTTCTGCCTTTGTGGGGCCTGAGCAAGCTGGCTTCCTCCATGGCCTATCCTTCCCCAACAGCTGATCTACGATGCTGGAGTATCCTTCATGGTCATCATGTTCACTTGGTCTGGCCTGGCCTGTCTTATCTTTCTGAACTGTGCTCTCAACTGGCCTGCAGAAGCCTTTCCTGCCCCTGAGGAAGTTGATTACACGTGAGTGGCTGGGGGGGGGGGGTGGGGGGGGGACCCCTGCCCCCTGCAGTAGAGGCCAGGGTTCTGTCAATGATGTCATTGACAGAATCAGCTTTGACCTTAGAGCTGGATTTGGAATTCAGTTTTGCAAATGGCTTCAGACTTCCCAGATCAGCTTTTTCACCTAAGCCACCTGCTCACAGGTGTTTTTTTTAAACTAGTAGCGCTGGCACATAGTAGGTAATCATCATGTGCTTTATTATTAATGGTAATATTTTCTCTGGCTTTGGAGGAAAAGGTCAGAGTTGGAGACTCCACATCACCCCTGAAATAGTGCTAAATGTCACAGGGGAACCAAACAATAAGCTGCCAAGCTGCCAGGTTTGCATACTGCTTTTAGTGGGTGGCAACCTGCATGCTAGCCTTTTCCAACCCCTTTTCGGTTCCTGAGCAGCAGGAGGCAGTGCTGAAAAACCTAGCACATAAAAGGTAATAGTCACATAGCTGACATTAATTGAGTACCTACTGTATGCCATACACTGTACTTACTCCCAAGTGGCTGTATGATGCTGTAGATGTTGTTATTAACTCTACTAATGAAAAACTGACTTGCTAAAGGTTCTAGCATCGAAAAGAGGTGAAGTTTGGATGGGATCTGGCTGAGCCAGTGTTTGAAGTTGTTATGCCACCTCCTCCATGAAAATAGGCCAAGAGAAAAACACTTAACTACCCTTCATTTACTGGGTATATGTATTAGGGGGTGCCTAAGCCAGGCTCTGAGAGAGAGATGGGGCAGCAATTGGAGCTTATTACTAGGTATGTCAGTGCTAGGTAAAGGATTGTTCAGTACCCTTGGACAGGCTGGGATGGTGCCTAGAGGTTGAAGTTGGGCTCTGCACAGCTAGTTCTCATATGCTCTGGTCTGACTGTTGGCAGGAAGAAGATCAAATTCATTGGGTTAGCCTTGGACCACAAGATCACAGGTGACCGCTTCTACACCCATGTAACCATCGTGGGCCAGCGGCTGAGTCAAAAGGCCCCCAGCCTGGAGGAGGGGGCTGATACCTTTATTTCATCCCAGGATATCTCTGGTACTTCAGAAAAACACCGTGAAAGTGAGTGTCTGGTCAGGTTCTAGCCTGGGGAGCGGGTAGGGTGCATTCTCATCCCTCCCTGGTCTTCATAACACCCTCTGTGGATGTTGTGGATGCGGAAACCAAAGCTCAGTGAGATCTGGGAAATTCAGATTCAGGGATACCCTGCTGGATCCTCTGGGTGAGGGCAGGAGGAGCTTCCAGCACAGGGCAACTCTCCTGACCTGTGAAGCAGCTGATTCTTTGCTCCCCACTCTCCTGTAATCAATCTCCCAGCCTGTTGATTCCTGCACAGCCAAGTCAGAGAGCTTGCAGGCTGTGCCTTCCAATGTCTGGCATACTTACACCCTCTGCTGGCCATAGGAGGAGATGCACCAACCTGGAGTTCAGTTCCAGATGTACCTTAGCTCCCTCTGGGACTCAGTTACATGATTGGGAATGGAGCACAGGCTTTGGAGTAGGAAGGTGTGAGTTTGAGTCCTGTTTTCCATTGTGTGACATTATCATTGGTCCTCACCCTCGCCTTGCTCATCTCTTACACCGTCACCCAACAAGGAGGTTAGTTATGAGGGCTGGATGACTCAATGGCCAAAACAAGCTCTTCATATGGCACAAAATGGGTCCAGTCATAAGATTAATTATCCTCACTGCTCATCCTTATAGGAGGATGGTTAAGAGTAGGAGCCTGAGCCAGGTCCTCCTGCTATTTCAGCCCTGTGAGCTCAGGCAAGCCATCTAACAGTTTCCTTACTTGTAAGATGTGAGAAAGCCTGTCTCAAAGAGGGGAGAGGGGTTGCTGCAAAATTTGATTTGGCAAGGTGCACGCCTTTAATCCCAGCACTCAGGAGGCAGAGGCAGTTGGATCTCTGTGAGAGTTCGATGCCAGCCTGGTCTACAAAGCTATACAGAGTAACCCTGTCTTGAAAAGACACAAAAACAAAACAAAACAAAAAAATTGATTTGGTAAAATAAAGCTTGTCAAGTATGTGGCTCATGGCAACTGCTTCATAGATGTTGCTAACACAGGAACACGGAAAGCATTTAGAGGTCACCTGACAGTGTCCTATGGAGGCTGTCACAGAGCTTGGCAGGCTCTTGGAGGGTAATGCACCTGAACCTTTTGCCCCCGAAGAGACACGTCCCTCTCTAGAGTCACACAGCCAGTGTCTTAACCCCACCAGACCCATATAAGCGGGAAGTAGAAGGCCTTGGGGCTTGACCTCCACCCTGTGTCTCCCCAGAATCTGTCCCCTTTCGCAAGAGCCTCTTCTCTCCCATCTTCCTGTGGAGCCTCCTCACCATGGGCATGACCCAACTGCGGGTCATGTTCTACATGGCTGCCATGAACAAGATACTGGAGTTCCTTGTGACTGGTGGCCGGCAGCATGGTGAGGCGGCTTGGAAACCCTGTGGAGGGAGGTGGGGGGTGGTGAGGGATGGGATGGGACCCGAGGGTCATCTGACTCGGCATCCTTTCACCATGTCTCTTCTGTATCCACAGAGAAGAGTGAGCAGAGACAAAGGGTGGAAGAGACAGGTAGGGAGATAAAGGCAGGGCCCCGGCCCGTACTCACGATGCCATGTCCCATTCCTTGCATGGAACTCATTCTCATTGGGTCATAGGGAGGCTGTTTGAGCATTGTCTTCCTCTGCTGGGGGTGGGTGGCTGTGTCCACTGAGCTGCTGGCATCCTGACCCCACTTCTGTTCCCGCCCAGTTGAATTCTACTCCTCCATCTTTGGAGTCATGCAGCTGCTGTGTCTTCTCACCTCCCCCCTCATTGGCTACATCATGGACTGGCGTATCAAGGACTGTGTGGATGACCCAACTGAGGGCGCCCTGAGTGAGAGTGCTTCCTTTGGAGATACCAGGTGACCCACAGGCTGGCGCTAACAGGAGCCCAGACAACAGTTTTCATTTCCTCCATGTCTGCGCATATAGCATCTCACTTTGTTCTCTAAGGGGCCTTGAGAAACCACTTCCCTGTTTTACAGAGAGGGAAACAGGCTAGAGGAGGCATGGCCTGTTTGGCATAAAAAGACCTATAGTTGACAGCTGGGTGTGTGCTAGGCACTTTGCATCAATTTGTGTCCACAGCATCTCTAGCAGGTGAGCTTATGATGGCTCTCCCTTGACAGATGAAGAAGCTGAGACCTGGGTTGTACCACTAAAAAACCAGCCCGAGACCATACAGCAGGCTCCCGAACCAGTGTCATAAAGTATACACTCCTCAGCTTGTCTGAGCTTGGAGACTTATGCCTGCCATCCAAACAGGAGGCTAAGGCAGAAGATTGTTATGAGTTTGAGGCCAGCTTGGGCTACATCGTTGTACTTCACCTACTTTGGCTACACAGTGAGACAATTTTAAAACAAAGTCTAGGAAAAGAGAGGATTGCTTATTAGATCTCTATTGCTGTGGAATGCATTGTCTTGTCTCTAAACGACAAATGTTGACTATTCCACACAGCTGCTGAGGGTAGGGAGTCTGGGAATGCCTTAGCTGGATGGATCTGACCTGGGGTTTCTCATAAGGCTGTGTTCTATTTTCCTGCCATAGCTGTGCCATCTGAAGTGTTGCCTGGGTTAGGGGGACTGCTTCTAGGTTTGATTGTATGACTAGCATGGACTTCAGAGCCTGCCAGTGTGGCCTATATCAGGGCTACTTTTGATACGGCAGATGGCTTCCTGATGGAAAGAGTTCTGAGAGAGGGAGGAGATGAAGCTCTTGTGTCTTTTATAATACAGTCTTAGTAGTGACTGCTATCACTTATGTCATAGTGTGTGGTCACACTATGTGTGGTATAGTAGAAGGCCTGGGTTATCGTGGGTATCTTTTTTTTTTTAAGATTTTATTTATTTATTATGTATGCAGTCTTCTGCCTGCATGCCAGCAGAGGCACCAGATCTCATTCAAGGTGGTTGTGAGCCACCATGTGGTTGCTGGGAATTGAACTCAGGACCTCTGGAAGAACAGTCAGTGCTCTTAACCGCTGAGCCATCTCTCCAGCCCCTATCATGGGTATCTTGCTGGCTGAAGACTGAAATTGGATCTTGAACTCAGGACTCCTGGACTTTTTTTTTTGCCCTGAGAATGTGGGAGAAGGGGGGCTAGGAGAAGAGGCATCTAAAGATGGACCCAGTGGTTTTCCTTTGTTTCCCGGACTCCAGCATTCTCTCTTTACCTTCTGTTCTTGATGTGGTAAACACATAGCCTGAGCTCATCCCAGCCTACTGTCCTTTTTCCTGAGCTGGCCCCAGAGCTCTTGGTCATGTCAAAAAGGGGGAGATTTCTGGGCAGTCATGCCAAGCTGCCCAGAGTGACACCTGCTTTTGTTCAGGCTGGTGGGGCAGTTGGTATGAGGAATTCCTTTCCACCTGCCTTCTCATCTGTGATCTGACCTCAGTGTGTATGGGACATGCTTGGGACACTTGCCCTGCCAATTCCTGGGCTTCTAGACAGTCTGCATTCTACGTGTAGGCCTGTAGATTTACCCCTTAGGTGCCCCTCAAGTTGATTCTTGTCTAGTTAGGAAGGGACCCATACTTATGGAGAAATGGCTTTCCTTTTCTTCAGGTGAGGGGTATGTGCATGCATGTTCCTCAGGTGCTGTCCATGCTGGTATTCATATGTGCATGCATGGACATACATGTGCTGGTAGAGGCCAGAGGACAACCTCGGCTGTTGTTCCTCAGATGCTGTCCATGCTGGGTTTCGTTTTTGAGATAGGTTCTCTCTTTGACCTGTAGCTTGCCCAGCAGGCTACACTGTCAGGCTTGTGAGACTCAGGGACTCACCTGTTTCCACCCACCCAGCACTGAGTTTACAGGTATATACCACTGTGTCCAGATGTATTTTCTAGACACAGTCTAGCACTCATTATAGAGATCAGGCGGGCCTTGAAATCACAGAGCTCCACCTGCTTCTGCCTCCTGAGTGCCAGGATTAAAGTGTGCACTGCGATTCTTAGCAATACCTAGATTTTTTTTAAAAAGGGCATTTAGGGATTAGAACTCAGATTCTTATGTTTGCAAGGCAAGCACTTCACTGACTAAGTCATCTCACTAGACAGAGAAATTGTTTTTTCTCTCTCTCTGTCTCTCTCTGTCTCTCTTTCTCTCTCTTTCTCTCTCTCTCTCTGTCTCTGTCTCTGTCTCTCTTGTTTGTTTTTCTAGAAAGGGTTTCTCTGGCTTTGGAGGCTGTCCTGGAATTAGCTCTTGTAGACCAATGCTGGTCTCGAACTCACAGAGATCCACATGTCTTTTTCTCCCGTGTGCTGGGATTAAAGGCATGAGCCACCGCCGGGCAGTGGTGGCGCATGCCTTTAATCTCAGCACTCGGGAGGCAGAAGCAGGGGTTGAGGCCAGGTTGGTACCAAGGAGCTTCCAGGAGTTCCAGGCAGTGGCCAGTGACTAACTGTTCTTTTCAGGGATGGGACTACCACGAAGTTCACCAGACCACGCTACCGAAAGATCCAAAAGCTCACCAATGCCATCAATGCCTTCACCCTGACCAACATTCTGCTTGTGGGTTTTGGCATCACTTGCCTCATCAGTAACCTACACCTGCAGGTACCTGCTTTCCTCCCTCATCTATTTCTAAACCTTCTCCCCTGGGAATGCTCTGCTGGTGCCTCTGTTCCAGGTTTGTTTCCTGGATTCTCCGGGAGGCGTGCCTAGTAGATTATGTTGGTGGGGGTTTGGTCAGGGTAGAACCGTGTAGATGACCCAGCAAGTCCCATGTACTTGACCTTCTGACCCCATTCTCTCTCTCTCTCTTGGGTTTCAGTTGATGGCCTTTGTCCTGCACACCATAGTTCGTGGTTTCTTCCACTCGGCCTGTGGAGGTCTCTACGCTGCAGTGTGAGTCACATGGACTATGTTGCATTCTGGGGCTTTGCCTGAATAGTTAAGGATTCTTAGACAGGGCGATTATAGAAAGCCCACCCCCTATTCACAGAAATGCCAAAGTTATGATGTCTTTCCCAAAGAAAATGGGAAGTCCTGGTCTGATGAACTTTTTGGTTCTGGGCCTGTGTTGAGGTCTCCCTCCTCAAGCCTGTCTTGTAGAGGTTTCTTAAGTGTCCCAGTGAACAATCCTGGTTCCCTTCTCTCTCCTCATTCCAACTGCAAGGCACTGTAGATTTCTCTGCAAGGATCCCATCACACAGTGCCCCTTCCCTGGAAGGTTCTGGGTGGGTGTTTGGCTACACCTTCTTGTAGCAGTCTTGGCAGAGGGCAGCCCCTCTCCTTCTGCACTGTGCCAACCAATGCCTCGCAGTTGCCTTTGTATTCTCACTGAACACTCACATCCAGGGTATCTGCAATCCTTTTGACTCCACTTTTCATACACCCCGCATCTGGTTTCCAAACCTGGACTAGCCCACTGTCGTCTCAAGCATGGATCTTTGCATATCTGCACCACCTCTAGCTGGTGCCTCCTCCGCTCTCCTGTTGGTTTGTTTTTGTTTTTTGAGACAGGGTTTCTCTGTGTAACCTTGGTTGTCCTGAAGTTTGGTCTGTAGACCAGACTGGCCATGAACTCAGAGATCCGCCTGCCTCTGCCTCCCGAGTCCTGGGACTAAAGGCATGCTCCACCACCGCCGCCTCCTCACTCTCCCTTTAACATGGTCTGGCTCACTAGTTAGGAGCCACCACTCTTGACATCACACGTGGTATGCCATCTCCTCTTGCTCCAGAGTAGGGCCAAAGTTCTCTAGAGCCTCTTTACCTTTTCCTTTTCCTTTCCCTGTCTGCCCTGTCACTCTGCTTCAGCCTCAAGAGCCAACGTGTAAGCAAACAAACCCTAAGTATGTCCCTTCCTGAGGGCCTTTGCACTTGCTGGTGTTACTGGGACACTCTTCCTCCAGGCACCTGCAAGGTTTACAGTTTTACCTTCTCAGCTTCTCCAGGGGGCATATCTAGCTGTCTTTTTGGCATGGCTGCCTCTGGCCACCTCATCTGCATTTGTGAGCCCCTGCCCCCTTCCCCCCTGCAGTTCTCCACTTGTCTATTTAGCTTTTCTCCTTAGCTCTTAGCATTAACACGCTATGCATTTATCTTGCTTATACCACCGCTACAAGATATCTATTGGGTTCATTGCTTTTTCTCCAGCACTTAGAACAGTGTCTGCCCATGGGAGGAGCTCAGTAAACATCTGTGGAAAGAATAACATGAGTAGCCCAATGAGGCTTGTCCTGTCCCTACTATCAGTGGATTAAGTGGGACACAGAGGGGTTGAGCTACTTACAATGACCGCACAGTCAGCAGGTGACTGAACTCCGCTTGCTGGTGCTGAAGTGGCATATATACCCCTGAGGGCAGGGACCAAAGGGTACATGCAGAGCTTGAATTCCTCAAGGAACATTCTTCCTGGCCAAGTAGTGTAGGGGAGGGAGCAGGATGGGTGCTGGGCTGGAGGGGGTCTTGCCTCTGACTCTTGGATGTCCCTCTGGATAGGTTCCCTTCCAATCATTTTGGGACATTGACAGGCCTTCAGTCCCTCATCAGTGCCGTGTTTGCTCTGCTGCAGCAGCTGCTCTTCATGGCCATGGTGGGACCTCTGCATGGAGACCCCTTCTGGGTGAGAGCTGGTTTAACATGGGACTCAGGGGATGCTTCCTACTGGGGAAGGGGAAAGGGCTGGTATGTGCTAGAACCTCTCTCAGCCAAGAGGTGCCATGGAGATCCCTAATGTCTGGCTGTGTGCTCATCAGAACCCTTCCCAGAGAATTAAAAGCACACACTTCCCAGCCACAGATCAGCCTCTCTTGATCGGGTTCCAGGGGTCTGCTTTGATTCTATTTTATTTTTGAAAACTTTATCATGTGTGTGGTAAGTATGTATGAGTATACTCAGACTTAAGTGTGTGTATGTACATGTATGCGGAAGCCCAAGATCGACATTGGGAGTATTCCTTAATTGCTTTGCACCTTATTTAGTGAGGCAGGGTCTCTTAGCTGAACTCAGAGCTTAATATGTAGATAGTTTAGTTAACCAGTTTTCTCCATGGAACTGGAATAACAGGTGAACCACCACTCCCACCCAACATTTATATAGATTTGGGGGATTCGAACTCTAAAGAGCTTTTTCCACTGATGTATTTGTTTTGATAAGGTCCCCGGTAAGCTGTGTACCCGCCTGGTCATAATCCTTAGGACAGCATTCAGTACCTCTCGTACCATTCTCATTGACTTGATGCAGGCATCGTTGTAGAACTCTCATCCACTTCCCTGACATTGATTTCAGCTTGTGGGGCACTCAAGCCGTGGACCCTCCTTCTGAGAGAACCGTGACAAATTACCCTCCTCTTGGCTTGCTGAGCAGTTGCTGTGCCAAGCATGCTGGCTTTTTTTTTTTTTCCCCTTCACTTATTCTTTGCCACAGTAGACCTGTGAAGGAGGTACTCAGATGAGATTCTTTGCTCCAAGTCACACATGAGTCATGGAGTAGGATGTGATCCAAGGGAGCTTGTGAAGGTCTCAGTCCCGGGCATGGCAAATCATCTGCGTTCCAGGCTGGCTAAATATCCATTCTGGTTCCTTTGACCAAGCCAAACAGCCTCTTCTTTGACACTCTAGAGGGGTCCTATTGGCTGGCACGAGCCAGGCTTCAGAGGCATAGGTCCCTCCACTCCGGAGAGTGCTGCATTGTGGGGCCTGACTGTCACTTCCTGGACTTCAGTGTTCTCATCTCAGCCCCTTTACCAGGTTGCTGACCATCTGAGATGCTGGTGAGAGAGTCACCGCGTCTGCTGGGTCTGACCGTATTTCTTCTGGTCCTGGACCTGGAATACAGATGACTGCCCTGTCCTCTATGGTGGGAGTCTCAGGCAAGCCCCTGAAGAGGATGCATTCTGCTCGTCCTAATTTGACTTCCTTTGCTTCTCTTTCCATGCTCGGAAGGTGAACCTGGGCCTCCTGATTCTCTCCTTCCTGGGATTTCTGCTACCTTCCTACCTCTTCTACTACCGGTCTCGTCTCCTGAGAGAGTATGCTACCAATTTTCCAGGCCCACAGAAGGTGCTCAATGATTCCAAGGTGGCCACATAGACTCCTGAGGCCGAGGGACTCGTAGGTCAGGCAACCAAGGCTTGCTAAAGCAGAGGGAAAGCCTCAGGGGCTTTCTACCCGCGTCGTGTGCATGGAGCCAAGGGGCCGTGGATTTATAAATACTAAGAGTTCTATTTTTGTAGGGACTTGCAAAAAGGGAAACAAAACAAAAAACAGACTTTAAAAATATTCTCCAAAGCAAGCTGTCTATTAACCGAAGACAGCGCCTATTCCAGTGGTATTGGGCCATCTTGGACTGGAGGAAACCAGAGTGTGGGCTGCCCTTTCTCCACACTTGCCCTAGGAGCCTCTGTGGCACGGCCTTCTGAAGACTCCGGGGATCAGTGAGCAGACTATCCCAAGATTCTGGCTGCAGAGTGTGCACGCATCCATCCTGTGCACATGCATATGGCAACCTTTCCTACGGGAGGGACTGAGGTGCTGGCTGTCTCCGTGATTGGGTGTGGGGGCTGGAGGGCGGGTTCCCTCCCTGGTGCTGTTTCTTACAGGTCTTAGAGGAAATAAAAAGGGAAGTGAAAGTTTGGCTGCTGTGTGTCTGTGACTGGAGGGAGTGGATATTGTTTTCCCATATCTCCATCCCTCTGTCTCACCAGGCTTGGCTGGGAATTTAAGTAGGATGATTGGGGGCCTGGAGAGGTGTCTCAGTGGTTAAGAGCATTGGCTGCTCTTCCAGAGGAGCTAGGCTCAATTCCCAGCACCTACATGGCAGCTCACAACTGTCTGTAACTTCGGTTCCAGCGTATCTGACACCCTCAATACAGACATGAGTTCAGGCAAAACATCAATGCATGTAAAACTAAAACTAAATAAATAAAAACATATTCAAGAAGGATGCTTTGCATAGCTGTCTGACCACCGTCCTCTTTTCAACTGTGTACGGCTCCCCATCTGTCTTAGTTACTTTTCTGTTGTTGTGCTGACATCATGATCAAGGCAGTTTATAAGAAGGAAGGGTGTTTTGGGACTTAGAGTTTCAGAGGCCTTGACCTCCATGGCAGAGAGCATGGCAGTAGGCAGGCAAGCATGATCCTGGAGCAGTAGCCGAGAGCTCATATCTTGGGACAGCAATCAGGGGCAGAGAGAGAGCTAACTGGGGTTGGTGTGGATTTTTGAAACCTTGAAGCCTACCCGAGTGACACACTTCCTCCAGCAAGGTCACACCTCCTAATCCTTCTCCAACAGTTTCACCAACTGTGGACCAAGCCATCAAATATATAAGCCCTTGGGGCTATACATTAGTGCCTAAAGGGGGTTCTGTGTCTCTGTCTTCCAGGGTATGGGGTATATCTTGGATGTTGCCCTTTCTCCATACAAGATAGCAGGGCCAAATGCTTAGGAAAGACACAGGAAGCCAAATGTGGTGGAGCCCACCTGTAATCCCAACACTTAGAAGGCTGGGGTAGTAGGATTGCTGTGAGTTTGAACCTAGCCTGGACTACATAGTAAATTCCAGGCCAACCTGAGCTTCAGACACACACACACACACACACACACACACACACAGAGAGAGAGAGAGAGAGAGAGAGAGAGAGAGAGAGAGAGAATAAAGAATGACTCAAACTTTCCTGGCACCAAGACCTGCCTGGGACCTGCTGAAAACAACTATTTGTTGCCTCCTATTTTATCTTAAAACATCAGGGAAATTTTGAGCTTTATGCTACACTGTGTTTACATTTATTTAAATATTAAAGGGATGCTTTAAAATTATTCACATTTAAAGAAAACACTGGGGCTGGAGGGATGGCTCAGGGGTTAGGAGCACTGACGGCTCTTCCAGAGGACCCCAGGTTCAATTTCTGACACCGACAATTGTCTGTAAGTCCAACATCTGACACCCTCCCACAGACATACATGCAGACAAAGCACCAATGCATCTGAAATAAAGTAAATAAATCATAAAGGACACCATCTTGAATGATGAGAGACATTCCAGGAAGATGTGACCTCAGCCCTTCACTAGTCTGTGCCCTGGGACAGAAATCCTTGTCAATTAGTCATAGACCTGCAGAGCCACTAATGCCTGCTGATGATCTGTGTCCCACACAGATCAGTTTCATCCAAGCTGGATTGGAGAGGTTAGTAGTGTGCTGCTGTGTAGTTTAGGAAAACACCAGAAAGGTTAAGGCCAAAGCCAAGTGGTACTCGGGAGGTGGGGAATAATTAGGCAAGGCCAGGTAGCAATGTGACTATAGAAGCCTACCCCAATTGCAGCCAGAGACAGAAATGATTACCCAAGCCTCCTAGTTCTCTGGGCTTGGGTGCCTTGTTAGTGTGTTTGAAGGTTTCACACTTTAGCCTAGGCTAGACTGGAATTCACTGTGTAGTTGGGACCGTTTTCCAATTTGCAATCCTCTCTCCTCAGCCTCCCAAGTGCTGGACTGATAGATGAACACCATTACCTCTGACTTTGGAGTGACCCCAGTTGAGTCCTGATTCATCCTCTCGGCCCCTACCCCGTGGAGGACCCCCACAAGCCAGGGCTGGAAGATAGCATTCTGGATAAGCTTCCTCTGTTTGTTCTGTCTTCTCTTGAGGGATAAATAAAGAAGATGACCCACCCATCTTCAAATGACGAAAGTTCAGGGAGGTCTGCAGGGAAATCACACAGCAGATGGTTGCTCTAACCAGACTCCTGACTCTCTATGTGGCCTTTTGTGCACAAAACATTTCAGGATGGGAGAGATCCTGTCAGCGGGGTTGGCTAACTCCCAGAGGCCCTGCCAGGGTCTCCCTGCACTCTCTTCCCAGGACTCTAATTTTGCCAACCTCAAGCCATCAAGGGACCTGGCTGGCATTCTACCAGTCAGTCGCTAATGAAGGCAGGTACAGGAAGCCCAGTGTGTGTGTGCGAGCGCGCTTCTCAGTGTGTCCAGCAGGCGGCGCTGCGTGTTTGCGGGTGGCCAAATCGCGGGGTGGCAAGCCAGGAGGGGAACCCCAGACCACTGCGCTCAAACCCACGCTTCTGGCACACGGGCCTAGGTCTTCCTACCTCTGTTTGCTTTGGCTTTTTCCCGGTCTCCTCCACGCCTTCCTCCGATCCACAGCTTTGAAGCATTCTCTCTCCAGCTCCACGGACCCCCCCAGGGGAAAAGGGGGGCCTCCACAGTTACCCTGTCCAGCTGAGGCTAGGGGTTCAGTGAGAGATGGAGGCCGACGTGTGGGCCTTCTAGGAGAGGGGTGTCATCATTCTCCCTCTCCCGGGGATGGGGGGAGTTTGGGGAGGGGGCTGGGCAGGGGCGGAAGCAAGCTAAGCCGTGTTTGTCGCTGCGCTGCCTAGAGGAACAGATGGCTGGGGAGGGGAGAGGGTGCCTTGCCGGGAGGAGGGGTGCGGGGGCCGCAGGATGAGGAACGAGGAATTTCGACGCCCGAGTCTCCCGGGAGAAGTCCCCCTCCTCATCTCTTCCCAGAAAGAGGGCCGGGCGAACGCCTGTCGTTTTCCTGAGGAGCACCGGCCTCTGGCCCGCCCTATGCGTAGTCAGCCGCCTAGGGGCGCCTCCCGGGCTCGGGGACTTCTACGAAAGGACAGGCCAGAGGCCAACCTGGGCCTCAAGGGTTAACAGAGCTGCGATCTGAGGGACGAGGGGGCGGCAGGAAGCGGGCTCTGGGTTGGGAGCGAGTTCAGGGATCGCAAACAGCTCTAGGAAAACGTGTTAATTGGAACTTTATGCAGATGAGCTGGGACTGGGAGCTGGGGAAGGCCGGAGAGAACAGGTCAGAGGGATGCTGGACACAGCTGAGTTCCAGCGGCCGCGGAGGACCCTGGTTAAGGAGGTGACACATGCAGACCGAGGCTCACTGGTCTCTGGCCCTCCTCCTCAGAAAGCTAGTGAGAGTTCTCCGTGATTAGCCTCCTCTGAATCTTGGGTCCAGCAAAGCAGAGTCTCAGGTGTCGATGATGAAAGGTGGGTGGGCACACCTTGCATGTGTCAAAGTTCCACTTTTGGCTGCTTCCCAGTCTCATCTTGGCTATGTCCCATCCCCATACAATTTGGGTCTCTCTTTACTCATCATATTCATCTTGTGTTGTTATTTTTAAACAGGATCTCACTTTGTAGCTCAGGTTAAGCTGAAACTCCCTATATAGGCCAGGCTGGTCTCGAACTTAGGACTATCCTCTTACCCCAGCCACCCTAGTGCTGGAATTACAGGTAAGCTTGATCACTCGGGCTGACATTCTCCATCTTTTATTCGTACCGGCTGTCCTCTACATGGAATTCCCATTCACAGATTCTACCAAGTGTATATGCTCGGGGAGGAGGGCCAACTTCCTTTTGCGTTGTCCTGTCTGCTCCCCTCTTTCCTCCCTTATTCACCCTCAAGAAGGTGACTCCCAAACTTGAGAGTCCTTACAGACCATCCCCACTTAATAAAATGCAGATTCCTGGACCACCAGCTAGCTGATTCAGCTGTGGTTGAGGGGCTTGGGAATTGTCTTCCCACTTAATCAGATAGAGCCACCCTGACTTTTAGAAACACTGTCAAGAGCTGAATGGACTGGAAAGATGGTGGCCCACTTCCTCCTGTGTCGTGTCCCCCCCCCCCCCCCAACACACAAACACTGTGGCTGTCTCTTTCTGGTGTGATGGTATCTGGCATGGAAAAGGTGCAAGGAAAAAGAAGAGTTTGAAGGCAATGGGGAGGGAGGGAAAGATGATAACAGAGTGAGATAAAGAAGGGTGTGTGAACCTGGCTCTTCTCTGAGCTGGGTGGCCCCCTTTTCCCACGCCCTCCCACAGGGGATTTTTCCTTCTCCTGCCCCTCCCACTCTTCAGCAGCTTCTCTACTTTTACTTTTTGCTCAGCCAGGCTTGACCACTTCCTAACCTCCCTCCCTCTTCTAATCTGTAGTCCTTGGGAGAATTTTGAGGCTCAGGCTATTTGGAGGTGACTGGGGACACCAAAAACAATTGGAGTCCCAGAGAGAGAGAGAGAGAGAGAGAGAGAGAGAGAGAGAGAGAGAGAGAGAGAGAGAGAGAGAGAGAGATCTACTACTTAGGGCAGTGGAAGAAAAAAAGAGGAGAAGAGACAGGGCTTGTGAGAAGACGGCACTGACAAACACATGGGCCTATTATGTGCTTGCTCCCCACTCCAACCCAGTTCAGTCAGGGACTCTTGGTGTCATTGCCCCCTCCCTCCCAGATGTCCAAACCAACAGTACCAACAAAAAGAGTTATCAGGAGAATCTGCCAAGATCACATAGCTTGGAAGTGGGAGAACAAACAGATCTTTCATTCTTCTCCTTCCCCAAACCACTTTTTCTGAGCATAGTTGCCCAGAGCCCCTCTGTGGTCCATGCCCCAGAGCAGACGACAGAGAAGGGCATCTTGTACAGATGAAAGGAGATGAATTCTCAGGTTTCAGGACATCTGACAGGTTTGGCTGGAAGCATTAAAAATTCATAGAGCAACCTGACCCCAGCTGGACCTTGGGCCTGCCACCTGGACTGTCCCCGGTTTTGTGGCCTCTCAGAGTTTGTTGGCCAACTTTCCCTTTGGAAGGGTCCTGGAAGCCCCATCTTCATGTTTTTATAGAAGAGCTCTCTAACAGATTAGAGATCTAAAGTGGGGAGCCAGCTGCTCGGAAAACTGGGCTGAAAACACCCTCACCCCCTACTCTGGGTGTAAGAACCTGAGAAGCTTAAGGGCTTATAAAGCTTGTCATCTGGCGTCCTTCTATTCCTCTCCCCAGGAGATTGCATGCTCACTCTGCAGTTTGATGACAAAGCCTGTCTGTGCTTCCTGCAATGGTCAGTAGGGGGCAGCCGTCCTCAGGACTACTTCATCGGCTCTGTACCTTGAAGGACAGTGAAGAGTGTGTCTTTGTGTCCCCCCCCCCTCCTCCGTCCCGTCCCCCCCTCCCCCGCCTGCAAGCAGGTGCAGTCTTGGCCTTGAGGAAGGGCTCTGGAGTTTGTGATCTGAGAAGAGCAGGGAAGACTTTCCTTGTTTGGGGAGATGAAGGGACTTTACTCAGGACTCAAAATAGATTTCTGGGTTTCTAGCGTACCAAACCAGCCAGCCAGGTGGCCACAAACATTAAAGCATTAGAGAGAAGGCTGGCTGGTGGCCATCCAGGGTGGAGGCTTGAATGGCATCTTCTTCTTGACAGTGAAACCCCTCTGGTGCCTCGAGAAGGTGTTTTATTTTGAATCTGAAGGCAATGGGGAGCCATGATATGTCCCAGCGTGACACAGTGGCATGATGCACAGTTGGGCCAGATGAGTCTGGTCACTGTGGGCAGGCTGGGTGGGAGGCAGGGAGACTGAGCGCAGAAAAAGCAGAGTAGAGATTACTTCCATTGTCTCTTATGTTCCAGGCACGAGGTGATGGGGAGCTTCAGCAGGGAGGTGGTAGGGGCTAGAAGAAGAGCCTGGAGAGGGAGGGGCCAGGAGGGGCTTGGGAACTGAGTAGATAGAGGTGATTAGAGGAAGGAGGAGCTAACGACAATGACATCAGGAGTCTGAAAAATGAAGCATACAGAATGGGGACACACTCATGGAATGGGGGAGGTGAATGGATTTTGTTTCTTTCGGGAGTTAGGGGGAGCGTGGACAAGTCCATCCCTGAACACTCTGGCCTCGGTTTCCTCATCCGGACATTGGTGGGGGTTGGAATACAGGGTTTCCCCCATCTCTTCTATTTTGGAGTGTAATACTCAAAGCTGTCAATCTGCATTGTTTGGAAAGGCAGGGGACCTGAGCTTGTGAGATCGATGGGGCTGGGGGCCTGGGTGAGAGGGTATGAGTCTATGTCCATACCTGAGGTACATCTGCTTGTTTGTGGGACCTGTGGGTGGCTGGTGTACTTGCATGTGCCACAAGGCTCCATTTTGCGTGTGTGTGTGTGTGCACACGCACGTGTGTGAGAGTGTGGTGTGCACATGATGGGCGTCCCTTGGTCTGTCTGGGCTGTCAGTGGCTGCAGTGGGGGCCAGTGGGGAGCAGTATTGCTCTAGGCTTCTTCCTGAGGCTCTCACACACTCCTCCTGCTCTCGTTGTTCTGAAATAGCATCTGGACCGAAGGCCCATGAATATTTCACAACGATAATTCTGTGACCTGGACAGCCTGCCTCTGATTTACCAGCACACTTCTCTCCCCTGCCGTGGCCCAGAAGCCCCTCCTCCAACACAGCACTTCCCTAGCTCACATCTCCCCTACACCCTTAACCTTCCCTCCAGCCCTCCTCCCAATCCCACTCACTAGCCCTGAAAGCCAGCCTGACACAGCTCAGAGCTCTCCAGTTCTGATCTCTGCTCTCACTAGCCCCTCACCCATTTCACATTCATATCCAAAGTCCATCTGCCACAGGATGCTGAGTCCTGCCTTTTTCTACCCCCTCTTCTCAGCATCCTGGAACATCACTGGGTAGGGTTGCAGGATCCCAGTAGCAGCTCAATCCTGAACCCCAGCATTCAGGTCCCTCCTATCCTGCCATTCCCACCTTCCAGGCTACAGCCTCAACTGGATCCTTGATCAGTTCTATCTGTTGAGACTCAAGGCTAAGGTTCATTACTAGCCCTGCCCCCAGCCTCTCTTTACCCACCCAAGAGAGGGAGTTTCTAGCTACCTTTCAGTGTAAGGCACCCTAACTTGAAAGCTTTGTCCCTTGATCACCTTAACATCTTAGTCTCTCCTAATCTGCTCAGAGAACTGCTTGGCTTAACCCATCCATGAAGGCTTCTCCCCCACAGGCAAAGGGAGAAAGATGGGATGGCTGCAGGGGTATTGAGAACAGCTGTGTATGCTGAATACTTCACAGGGCATCCAACAAAGAGGGCAAACACAAGCTGGGAATCTAGTTTTAGGTTCTGCTGCTTAAGGCTTTTGTGGCGACTGTGTTCCCCCAGGAAGCCGTGCCTTTTCCAGATAGGCCCAAAGCCATGTTTAGCTGGTTGTGCTCATGGAGATCTAAGTTACACCTTGGAGGGGAAGGTGGAGGCTTACAGTTCTTTCCCAGAGGCCACTTAGCCAAGCTGGTGGCCACCTCCAGACTTAGTTGTTCAGCTACCAAACATTTCAGGACTGGTGGTAGCTCCTTCTCTTGGGCACATTGGTGCCATCAGCACACAACACACCCTTAACAGCCAGGGTAGCTCAAGAAACTGAAGCTTCGGGAGGATCAGAATGACCTTGAAGCCCAAGAGAGGTGAAGTCACCCATCAAGTCGGCTCAGTAGGAAATCCTGGTGGCCTGGGATTGCTCTTCCTTGTCTAGCCTTCCAGCCCTTGAACACTTACAGTTCTAAGTCCTACTTCTGCTTTTGAGGTCTTGAGGGGGGGAAAAAACCTTACAGAAGATAAAATAATAGAATTTTTTAATAAATTTTCCCCCAAACAACTTCTTTTGATCTTCACCACACAGGGGCCATGGTGGAGAGGAAACTCTCCAGGCACCCTAAAAGTGTTCTGGGTAGACTTAGGAGAAAAATATTCCTCCAGGTGTCAGGAGGCTGAAGGGATCTGGACAAGCAGGGTCCAGGGGCAGCCTGGGCCTTGCTGAGGCATCCCTCCCAAGGTCCTGGGGAGGAACGGAGGCTCCCGGGGGAGCTTTCAAAGGCTCTGCTGGTGGAAGGTGCTCTGCAGACAAAAGCCCCTCCAAGTCCACTGTTGGGCCCTGGAGAGAGGAGCAAAGGCTGCCTGGGGTGCCCCGCCCCAGCCCTGGGATTGGGGAAGAAGAGTTAGTTAATGGCTAGAATCAGGGCGAATGGGGCCGAGCCACCTTATACACAGTCTTCGGGGCTGCCACACTGAGAAGTCAGAACAGCCCAGAAGGCAAATGAGGCAGCGTGGTCCCAGGGAAGAAAAGGAGCGAGGGGGCCTAGGGAAGGCAACAAGGGGCGAGGAGGATGGAGCCGCAGCCGGGCGGGGCAGAGAAGGGGAGCGGGCTGAAGGCCGTGGCCTCTTCCGTCTGAGCACCGCAGTCAGAG